ATAGTTCTTTTACGCTGTGGTTAATCGAATCTATGAATATTTCATATGCGGTTAATACGGTGACACATGAAAATTCACACTAAATTCCTATTTTTATAAAAGAATGGGGATCCCTTATATATATATATATATATATATATATATATATATATATATTTGAGTTGGGTATAAGTTTCTCCTTCCCAGAAAATTAGGTCCACTGTCACACGCTGTACAAATTTGAGTAAAGGAATTCGTACGTACAATAGTAGCATGCATTAATATAGCTCTCAACCTCTGATGGAATTCCTATTGACCCAAAAAAAAAAAAAAAAAAACCTCTGATGGAATTCCTATTGACACATTCAGCATCTTGAATCACGAATTTGAACCTTGCAATGATGATCATTTTAGATTTTCGATTGGTTAATTTATTTTATTGCTTAATTGTCAAATTTCAAAAATGTTGTTCATTTTATATTTATTCTCACTGTCAACGTAGGAATCAAGCGTATATATCAAATGAAATTGATCCATCACCGAATTAACCATGAGTTTCTACCTCGCATGTGTCAAGTGACAAAACATATTAATAGAAATGGTGATGAAAATTGAGCATTTAATTTCAAAAGGAGTAATGCTATTCTTACCGCAATTTTATACCATATTTTTTTACCATCTTAGGTGGTAGATGAGTTGGACAAGCTACATCATTTAATTTCAATCTTTTTATTAATTAAAACAAACACTTAAATAATCTTAGGTGGAAGAAGGAGACTCCTCGTATATCATAATCATCATTTAAAAAATTGAAATTAAATGATGTAACTTGTCCAACTCATATGCCACCTAAGATGGTAAATATGGTATAAAATTATTATAAGAATAGCATTACTCTTTGAAAAGAGCAATGTTCCGAGCAGCAGAACTAGGATTGGTGGAGTATATTACTCATTTATTTGAAGCAAATGAAGAAGATGAGGACTTCATACGCATCACTAATGAAAAAGGCCAGAGCGTGTTTCAATTCGCCGCCGAATGTCGTCAACTCGAAGTTTTAAATCTTTTTTACCGCTACCGTCAATTCTATAACAAATCTGAACATCTCAATATCTCATCGTTAACTCTGGCAATAATATGCTGCATACAGTAGCAAGTATTTCCTCATTCTCATTGTCAAATATTAATAACATCCGTGGTGCAGCTTTGTGTACTTATATAAATCACTATTAGCATGCTATTAGAGTTTAGGGTTGATAAAAAAAAAAAAAATGAGCATTTAGGTCTGGGTCCAAAAAACTAACATGATTATTAGGTTAAGTTCATTATTATCTTTTCTCCATTTTTATTTTTCTTATACTCGATTTACATTTAAAAAAAAATTATTATAGATAAATTAAAATCTTTCTAAATTCAGCATAATCTCATTTCAATAAATCTACTTAATATATTCTAACAAAAAAACTAATAGCCCTAATTAGGTAATAGGATAAAAGTAAAACAACAAAGTTTAGATATGGATGGAAGTAAAATGACACCGTTTAAGAGAATTATTTCGTTCGGTTCGGTTTCTGAACCACTAACGAACCAATTAATAGATTTCGGTTTAGTTTGTTTTTTTCTAATTTGGTTTGGTTTTTTTAGTTCACGTTCGGTATTTAGTTCGATTTTTTTTATTTTCGATTTTCAAACCGACCTCTACTATGTTCAAATCAAAAAGGAGAAAAAGTTGAATATAAAAAGAAAAATATTGATTTTAATTAACTACTACGACTTAACATTCTATGTAGTTCAAGTAATTACGGATTTTTGGTTCTGCGATGTCTGAAGGGCAAATGTTTTAAGGATGAGTATGCTTCATAAATTTGATTCTGATTATACATAGTAAACCTATCATAAAACTTTAGTTGGATGAAATGCAGGAGGTGAAAAGAGTAACAAAGCCCAAGGATCATGAAGATGTAAACAAAGATCATACGACACCACATGAAGTATTTATGAACAACCATAAGAAATTGGCGAAGGAGGCAGAAGAGTCAATGAAGGAAATAGCAACTTCTTGTACGGTTGTAGTGCTCTCATTGTTATCATAATGTTTGCTACAATATTCACAGTTCCTGGTGGAAATAATGGAGATACAGGTCTTCCTACATTATTAACTAGAAGGGTATTCACAACTTTTGTAGCTTCAGATGCAATCTCACTCTTTTCTTCCACAACTTCGGTTATTATGTTTCTAGGAATACTCACTTCATGCTATACTTCTGAAGATGATTTCCACAAATCCTTGCCCACAAAAATGATAATAGGCCTTTTCGCCCTTTTTCTATCTATCACCACCATGATGATTGTCTTTTCTTGTACCCTTTACATTATGCTTGATGTGCAAGCATTGATTATTGTTCCAAGCATTTTGCTTGCTTGTGTTCCTGTTACCTCCTTCATCTGGATGCAATTTCCGTTTACTTGTTGACATAGTCTTCTCTACGTTACATGGACCAAGAATGTCGTGAAGAATAGAAGAAATGTTTGAAATTTGAACTCCTATGTTATCTTTTTACTTTTTTTTTTCTTCTGGATATGCTAGGTTTTAACTTTTAAGAAGCTTGTAAAAGAAACCAATGTCTGCACTTGCATCCTACAAATAAATTCAACTTTAATTTTTATGTTTATGAGTTTTGATTGATACTATTAGAAGTTATTAGAATTCGTGCCCACACGCTGCGATGGGTCAAAAAAAAATTCATGTAATTAACAAATACAAATAAAAAAGTAGCAAGTAAAAGAGTCAATGAATTTCCAGTGTACCAAGTTGGTAAAAATGTACTCCAACATGACCAGCCCAAAAGGAGATTCCTTCACTCTCAATATGGTTCATCGTCTGCAAATGTAGTGTCCCAATTTCTTCAGGCCTGCATTTGGTATAAACTGTTGAATCCTACATCGATCATACAAAAAAGAAAAAGTAATAGTTTAAATATCTTAAACCCCACTCTAACTAACATCGAGACCTTTTGTGATAAAACCCCACACCTGACGGATTGTACAGGTGGTAATTACCAAGTTGGGGACAATATCGGTGTTGTCGGAAGTAGGCCGTATGACCCGTCTCTCTGATAATTCTACATGGTATCAGAGCCAATGAGTGGGCCCGTACTGTACTGCCACGTGATGGGTTGGTCCACTTGTCCCCACGCAATGATGGTGGGTCCCTTGGCCCCGCGTGTAGGGTGAGTCCCCTTGGCTCCACGTAGTTGCCGATATGTGGATCTCTCACATGTGACCCACTAATTGGGTCTCACATGAGGGGGCATGTTGAATCCCACATCGGCCATACAAAAAAGAAAAAGTAATAGTTTAAATATCCTAACCCCACCCTAACTAACACTGAGGCTTTTTGTGATAAAATCCCACACGTGACGGATTGTGCAGGTGATAATTACCAAGTTGGGGACAATATTGGTGTTGTTGGAAGTGGGCTGTATGGCCCGTCTCTCTGATAATTCTACATAAACATGTAGGACAACACCAATCACAACTGCCAAATACTAACAACTGTGCATAAAAATTATAAAGAAAATGCATGTACCATATAAGAACAAACCTCACAACTAATTTTAGGAAGCCGCTGGGGTTCGAACCCTATAAAATAGATAAGAAAACCAAAGTCCACCAGATTCCTGTTTAGAGCCTATTTTATTATCTATAAGTAGAGCCTATTTTATTTTATTTTTTTCATTTTTAAAAATAGAATGTGTGGAAATTCAAGATGTGTAGAGCCTATTTTATTTTATTTTTTTTCATTTTCAAAAATAGAATGTGCGGAAATTCAAGATATGTAGAGCCTATTTTATTTTATTATCACATTTTCTCCCGCATAGAAATAAGTGAAATCCTTCAACCAAAAATAAATAAATAAATAAATAAATAAGCAAAATCCTTTTGAGAACCCACCATAAAAAAACCAGATTTTACCCAAGAAAACTCAAAAAAGTGAAGAACCCATTTGAAAGCTCATAAATTTACATAAAAAACCAGATTTTCCCCTGTATATTATCTGATACGTCGCATTAGAGAGAGAACTACGGTGAGACTTTACAATAGAGTAGGTCGATCTTGGAGTAATTCATGTATATGTTTCCATGACTCAGGGACGGATCTACAGAGGGTCCTGGAGGTCCCAGGACCCCTCGGCCATCCTAAAATGTTGCTAGAAATTTTCCGGAGGACCCCTCGTACTCGAACATGAGGCCTGTGCTGCTGTGCAGACTGTCTGTGTTGCTGCAGCAACAGGTTGCAGTTTGCAACGGAGAAGAAGAAAACAGGGGAGAAGAAAGAAAACAGGGCATTAAAAAAAAGGGTCCAAAACGCAGTGTTTTGGCCCTTTTTTTTTTTTTTTTTTTTTTTTTAATTAAACCAATGAAATCAAGGGTTGCAATTGGTCCACCTTTGCAACATGATTACATATTATTTTTGAAAGTCTAGCCCCACATCCTGTCGTCCCTTTCACTTCTTCTTTACCCGTGCCTTCCACTGCTTTTCCCCCTAATCCCCCCATCTTTCTTATATTCACCCAAAACCCTAAATTTCTAATCCCACCCAATCCCATATTATAATTACATTACTCCAATATTATACCTCCACTTGTTTCAATTCTCCAAGCCACCACTATTTGGTTCCAAATTCAAGTAAGTTTTTTGGTATTCTAATCTAATCTCAATTAAATTATATTAGATATTGGTGGAGATTTTTAGTCTATTATTGATATGATTGTTGATGTGTTTTATGTTTGTATACTCATTTTATAATTGAAATTTAGATGGAATTTTTGTTTATTGGTTGATTGGTATATGTTTTGTGTTTTTGGTTAAATGTGTAGTTTAGAAATACGAAATATGGAAAGATTTTTCAAGCCAAAGCCAATAGCACCATCTACTTGTTCGGGTAGTTCGAGCTCAAGACAAAATGAGTGTGACATTGATTTTAATAATCTTGAGAGAGACCCGGGAAAAAGAATTCGAATGAAGGACTATCCTTCTAATATTCAAGATGAGGTCCGCAGAGCATATTTGCAAATGGGACCTTGTAGGCCTACAAAGTATGAGTTCCCATACACTTTGCATGCAAAGAAAAAGCGACGATTTGTTGTTTCGTGGTTTGAAGAATATGATTGGTTGGAGTATAGTATATCTAAAGATGCGGCATTTTGTCTTCATTGCTATCTCTTTAAAATCAACTTTTCACAATTAGGAAGCGATGCCTTCACTGGGGTAGGCTTTAAGAAATGGAAGAATGCAAGAGAATGTTTTGACAAACATGTTGGTCCTATTGGTAGTTTCCACAATAAAGCTAGAGAAGCGGCTAGTTATCTAATGAACCAAAAGACACATATTGAAGCAGTTGTGATCAAACAATCAGAAGAAGAGTGTATGAAATATCGTCTTTGCTTGAATGCATCAATAGATTGCACTAAGTTCTTGTTGCGACAAGGCCTTCCTTTTCGTGGCCGTGATGAAAGTGACACTTCGAATAATAGGGGGAATTATTTAGAGCTCTTGCAATTCCTTGCAGATCATGATGAGAAAATAAAGGAAGTTGTGTTGGAAAATGCTCCGGGAAATCTCAAGCTAATAGCTCCTTCAATTCAAAAAGATATTGTCAATTCATGTGCCTTCGAAACTATTAAGGCTATTATGAAAGAAGTGAAAGAGAGTAAATTCTTTTCTATAATGGTAGATGAATCACGTGATATTTCAACAAAGGAGCAAATGGCGGTGATTTTGCGTTATGTGGACAACAAAGGTCAAGTAATTGAAAGGTTCGTGGGAGTCCAACATGTTACCGAAACAACTTCAAGTAAACTAAAGGAGTCCATTGATGAGTTCTTGAAACTACATGACTTGAGCTACTCCAACCTACGAGGTCAAGGTTATGATGGTGCGAGTAATATGAGAGGTGAGTTCAATGGCCTTAAAAAAAAAATTTTGGATGAAGAAAGTTGTGCATTTTATGTTCATTGTTTTGCTCATCAACTACAATTAGCTCTTGTTGCCGTAGCAAAGAAAAACTCCGATGTTGCCGCTTTTTTCACATTGACTAATAGTTTGGTAAATGTTGTTGGATGCTCATGTAAGCGTCGTGATGCACTTAGAGAGAAACAAAAAGAAAATCTCTTGAAAGCTATTGAAAATGATTGTCTTGAAACGGGGCAAGGGTTAAATCAAGAAACTAGTCTCAAACGTGCTGGGGATACACGGTGGAATTCACATTATGGTGCTTTGATTAGTTTGATTACAATGTTCTCATCTATGGTGGATGTGCTTGACATGATTGTTGAAGATTGCTACAATGATAGTGTTGGTGAAGCAAAAAGGTTATTAAAAGATTTACAATCTTTTGAGTTTGTGTTCCTCCTCTTTTTGATGAAATCCATATTAGGAGTTACAAACGATTTGTCACAAGCATTGCAAAAAAAAAGATCAAGAGATTGTGAATGCAATGGCTTTAGTCAAGACATGTAAAGAACAACTACGTTGCATGAGGAATGATGAAAATTTTGATCTTTTGGTTGATAAAGTATCATCTTTTTGTGTTGAACATGAAATTGAGGTGCCTAATATGGATGATTTATATGTCATTCAAGGGAAGTCATTGCGTAAGGCTCCAAGAAAGACCAATCATCATCATTACAAAGTGGAGCTCTTTTTCGAGGTCATTGATTTCCAACTTACAGAATTAGATGATCGCTTCGCTGAAGGTAATACCGAATTGCTTATTTGCTTGGCATGCTTGAGTCCGAATGATTCATTTGTAGCTTTTGATAAAGAGAAGCTTGTTCGCCTTGCTCATATGTATCCTAAAGATTTCACGGATCGAGATAGATCGGCACTTCAAGATCAACTTGATATTTACATTCATTTTGTGCGTTCTGATAATGATTTTTCTCAATTGCGGGGAATTAATGAGCTTGCTAAGAAAATGGTGGAGAAAGGGTTGCATCGAACATTTGCATATGTATATTTGCTTGTTCAGTTGGCTTTGGTTTTACCGGTTGCAACTGCTTCAGTAGAGAGGGCATTTTCCGCTATGAATATCATTAAGGGTCCACTTCGCAACAAAATGGGAGATCAATGGTTGAGTGACAGCTTAGTTGTTTACATTGAGAAAGATGTTTTTTCATGTATTGGTAATGAAGTTATCATGGAACATTTTCAGACTATGAAACCTCGTCGTGGACGCTTGAATTAGGATTTTATAGCTTGTAATATTGTTATGCAAATGATTTTTGAATAAAATGTATTATATTTAACTTTTCAATGTTATTTTTGTCTATAAATTTTTTAACCTTTATTATTGGGACCCCCCGAGTTTAAAATCCTGGATCCGCCACTGATGACTCCAAGTAGCCTGATTACAGTCGAACGTGAGTTGTCTCAAGCGGGTGCCGGAAGGGCATATATGCAAGGAGACCCAGGTCAGGTGCTGGCATATCGACTGGACTACGATTTGTATGACCTAATAGTGTCTGTTTCAAACAAAGTGGCATGCTCATATATGAAGTTTGAGAATACGTCATAGCATACATGTTGGAGAGAAGAGTCAGACAATATGTGCTTTAGATGACCAAAATAGTGGGAGTAATGAATGAATCCATTCTTCTTCACTGTATGAGCCACTGGATTTTCAAATCCAATATTTATACCCTTTGAACTAAAGACTATGTCATAAAGAAAATACTTGAAGACAGATACTTTAGCATACTTATCCACGATGGTTAGCAATCATTACTGTTTAGAGCAACTCCAGCGTTGGAGCCCTCCCCCCTGGCAATTCACTATTCAATCCACCTAATGAACAGTAATTGCCCTTAATGAACAGTAAGTAGCCCTGGCAATAGATTTTGCATCTCCACCGTTACACTTCTATAGCCCTGGCAATAGGCAATAAAATATTAGTATTTTTTTTATTTATAAAATTAATACAAAATAATTTTAAATGTAATATCGGATAAGATTTTTAATCGTTGTCGGTGCGCCACGTGTCATTATCCTAAGTATTATTAAATAATACAAAATAAATAATTATAATATGGATTTCTGATAAGATTATTAACCAATCACGTCGCGCCACGTGTCATAATCGGTTCACAATCTTTGAGGATAGATTTCCATCAGATTTTAAACGAATGACGACATGCCACGTGTCATAATCTGTTAACAATCTTGGATGATAGATTTCCATCAGATTTTTAACGAATGACGGCATGGCACGTGGCATTATGCAGAACCTAATCCTTTCTGAATCCTCTATATAATCCACCATCCATCTTCACAAATCTCACACCAAAATTCTCAAGATCTCTATCATTGATCTCAAAATTTCTGCTTCCTTATTCACAAAAATCAGTTTCAATATTCATAGTTTCTGTTTCTTTCTTTCAATGTCTTCTTCTTCTTCCTCAAGGATGATGTGGGAATTGAATCAGGAAGAGGAAGACTTGTTTAACCAATCAGAATCAATGTTCAATCAGCAGGGGGTAAGAAATGAGAGGGAAGAAGATGAGGAGCGTCAAATGAGAGATGACGACGTAAGAAGGGGCAGAGCCTCACATTCCCGTCGAGTCATCCAAGCTGCGGCTCAGATCTGCAGGCCCAGGCGTTCCGGAAATATTGATAGAAGCAGGCAACGACGAGGTATGGAACTCTTGGATGATTATTTTGTTTCTAATAGTGCATTCCCTGATACGTACTTTAGACGTCGTTTTAGAATGGAACGACATTTGTTCAACAAAATCATGATTGCTGTTTGCAACCATGATTCTTATTTTGTGCCAAAAAAAGATGCTTTTGGTGCTATGGGTCTACTGCCGGAGCAAAAAATTACTGCTGCCTTGCGGATGCTTGCATATGGAGCATCTGCAGACCAAGTGGATGAGATAACGAGGATGGGGCAATCAACCATTCTTGAGTCCCTGATGAGGTTTTGCGGAGCAATCGAATCTATCTACACCGCTGAGTACCTCCGCAAACCCACACACATGGACTTGGAGCGGCTGTTGAAGAAGGCGGAGATGCGTGGCTTTCCTGGGATGATTGGAAGCATTGATTGTATGCACTGGACGTGGAAAAACTGTCCAAGTGCATGGCAAGGCGCTTACGGGGACAGAAAAGGGGCAAAAAGTATCATTCTGGAGGCGGTGGCATCTTTTGATACATGGATTTGGCACGCCTTTTTCGGGGTCCCGGGAGCTCAAAATGACATCAACGTCCTTGCCCAATCCCCAGTGTTCAACGATGTCCTGCAAGGAAAGGCACCAAAAGTTACATATGAGGTCAACGGACGTATGTACGACGGGCCATACTACCTAGCTGACGGCATCTACCCGCGCTGGTCAACATTTGTCAAAACCGTGCCACGTCCGCGGAGTGCGAAGGAAAAACACTTTGCAAGCTGTCAAGAGGGGTGCAGGAAGGATGTGGAGCGTTGTTTTGGTATCCTCCAAGCTCGCTGGGCGATCGTCAGGGGTGCGGCCAGATTGTTTGATGTAGAGTCGCTTCGATCCATCATGATGACGTGCATCATTCTTCACAACATGATTGTGGAAGATGAGTACGATTATGAAGCTGTTGATGAATATGAGCCAGACCCGATGAACAATTCAAGAACACGTATATATTGTGCTCATGACGCCACCGATGACCCCGTGCAACATGAGCCATTACAAAGGGATGGACGTTACAATGAAAGGCTCATTCAACGATATACTGCATTTCAAATGCCAGACATGCACAATGCCCGACAAATTGACTTGATAGAGCACCAGTGGGCATTGAAACAAGCTGAGGATAATTAAGTTCATTTTAGTGTGTTATTTTGAATTTGGTATGTTTATGTTATTTTATTTGGTGTGTTTTATTATTTGGTATGTTTATGTAATTTTTTTATGTTTATGTTTATGTAATTCTTAGTATATGTTTATGTTTATGTTTATGTAATTTTTTTATGTTTATGTTTATGTAATTTTTTTATGTAATTTTTTTATGTAATTTTTTTATGTTTATGTTTATGTAATTCTTAGTATGTTTATGTTTATGTTTATGTAATTTTGTTATGTTTATGTTTATGTAATTCTTAGTATGTTTATGTTTATGTTTAATGGACTTTTAACAACATAAATAACTTACCAAATTAAATAACTTACCAAATTAATTCTTAATATAAATAACTTACCAAATTAATTTGAATAAATATTCATGAACATGGAAACAACATAAATAATACAAACAATAAATAATAAATTACAACCCAAAGTGATTGGAAAATTATGGGCTCTGATTACAAAAAGTACTCTATTCATCATCACTTAACCAATTTGTGCTGCTAGGATGATCTTCTCTTGCGGTGCTAGAACCACCTTGGCTTGCTATTGTTTCTCTTGCACGCCTCCTTCGCACCACGTCCGCTTTCTCTGACTTCCAAAAAAATTTAGAATTTGGAGACTTCCCTTCTAAAGACATGTTCATAATCTCACGATCTTGTTGAGCTCGTCTTTCTTCTCTAACATGTTCCCTTTCTTGCCTAAGTAGCTCTCTTTCTCTCTCATTAGCATAAAATTCTCTCTCAACAGCTGCTGCTTTTGATGCCTTATCAGCCTTATCAGCCTCATCTTTCGCCAGTTCCCTCGCCAAAGTCAATTCACCTTGGCGAGTAAGTTCTTCCATGAACTTTGCATAATCGTTCTTGGAAGCACTCCCTTTTCTCTTTGTAGCCTTCTTACCTTGAGGCCTAATTGGAAAACGGGTCGAACCCGACGCTTGTTCAGGGAGGGGCGTTTCGGGCACTTCTTCTGCATCATCTTCATGAACATGATCGGGTGTAGAGTTTAGAGGGGTGCTGTTCATGTGCACTTCTGGACCAACTGGCACAACTCTAAATTTAGGACAATCTTTGACAATATTCCAACATTCCCACCGGTTGAATGATTTATTTTTGCCTTTGGTTTTGGCAGCATACCAAGCTTGTGCTTGAAGTTCCTACACAATAAAAATAAGTAACAAATAAATAATACAAATAAATAATTATAATGAAAATAAGTAACTAGCAAATATATACATATATATATATATATATAAGTAACAAAGATAATGAAAATAAGTAACAAAGCAAATAAGAAGGCTTCAAGTTTAGTAAATAATGAAAATAATTAACAAATATATATATATATATACATTAATTTTAATGAAAATAAGTAACAAATAAATAATACAAACAACATAATTATAATGTAACAAATAAATGTAACAAATAAGTAACAATAACATAATTATAATGTAACAAACAACATAATTATAATGTAACAAATAAGTAACAATAAATAATAAATTTTGTACGTAACAAATAAAGAATACAAACAATAAATAATAATATCTTGTTACCATATCCGAGTAATTTTCCCCACTTCGAATATTATTACTAGCTTGTGCCAAAGCGTCTCTCCACGTACTAAACGATTGGCTAAGTAATTTCCAACGACTGGACATCGATTCTTTGGTTCTTTTCCCACCAATTTTCTCAAGATAATTGGTATGAATAAGACTCCACATTTCTCGCAACTGCATCTCATTACCCGTAAGCGAACTATGAGTAACTTCAACCCAGCTAGTACACAACGCAACATCTTCAATAAGCGACCAATTCGTACCTGCACCAGTGGTCATTTTGTTGAAAAAAAATGGATTCAAACTTTGAGACAAAGAAAGGAATGTGATTGAAAGTGGTTGAGAAAATATGAAATTGTTGTGAAGGTAGATGATAATGAGAAGGTATTTATAGAAAAGTAAAAACAATTTTTTTTACAATTTTTTTCAGATTTTTTTTTGAATTTTTTTGAATTTTTTACATTTTTTTTGAATTTTTATTCAATTAATTAATCTCTGCCGTTGGATATAAAAAAATTTGAATTCCAACGCTCCAGATTGTGCCACGTGTCACAACGGTAACTTTTCAGATTTTTTAAACTATTTTTTCATTTATTTTTTAATTTATAAAGCATTTTAATATCCACCGTTGATCTCAGATCGAACGGTGGATATTAAATCTGACAGTTTTAAAATTTTTTACCGTTGAGATCTAACGGTCCACATTAAGTGACCGTTAAGATCTAACGTACCGTGGGAAGCCACGTGGCTTCCCAACGGTAACAGACAAAAGTTTTTTTTTTCTGATTAAACTGTCAGGATGCGCCCCCACGCGCGGGTGGGGTGCA